TTTTGAAGTACCTTCTTTCAGTTCGGTGGTCAGTTATACGTTCATAAAATCGACCATTCCTGTGCGAATAATTAGTTACTTTAGTATAATAAGCCCGATTTAGTTGCTTTTTATCCGGCCCCTAATGCTGACAGGGGGGGGGGGTTAGAGCCACTAGACGAAGGAATAATTTATCCCAAAACAACTGTTATGCCAGTTTGTCCTGCATCTCGGTTTACATTTCATGAGATGGATCACTGTCATTGCACTGAACTCGATAGCCCGCGGCTGCCCTCCCTTGCATATAGGAATTGACTTTCACGGTTGCATCAGTTGCTGACGGATCAAGCCGAGTGATGTAGGGGGTCTAATCCGGATCTTGGATGTTCTTTTGATGCACGTGCTTTTTCATCTTGATGTCAGCTGATTGTACTGCCCATTCGGTTCCATCAGTACATTTGATTCCTTTTTGCGAAGGCTCATTAGCGCTTCATTTCGTCCTGCCGGCAAAATGCGCTTATACAGTTTCCATAGTGTCGCATTAGTGGTTGCTATTGTAACAGCTGTTTGCAACGGGTTAGTTAACTTCCTGCAGTCCGTAGTTGGTTTTCCGGATGGCCTTTGGAGGACTGTCTCAGCAATAAACTTTGTTTTTCGACCTGTCCGATGCCGTTGAATCCGTCCTTTCAGGTCTTCTAAACATATTACGGCAGCGATTCCCAGTTTCTGCGAGATTTCACTTTATAGATTGGTTGTTGTGCTCCTAGTATCTTTGGCGCAACGGTTCCGTGAGTGTTCCCTCTGCGAAGTGCTGTCATATGGGCGTTAGAAGTGGGTTGACATAATATGGCATCCTCCTTTCATGCAATTTGTGGACTTCTGGAGCAAATCCGCAAGTTGCTGTGCTTTAAAGTGAGACGATTCGTCGGAGGGGAGGAAACCATATCATGTCGCAACTTCTCCGCCGTTGCTGTTACCTTAACGACTGTCAATTCAGAGTCGCGGTGTCATGAATTCTGTAGC